TGAAATAGTATTCATTATTCCTAACGATGTAAAAAATGTTTAATTACATTCTCCGCACACCATAAAACTGATATCATATACATATATTCCATTCATTTCATCTAACTGTAAGAAAATGATATATAGATCACTTGATAAAACAATAAATCTACAACATTTCTACGTTTCACTCATTGTAATTCGAGAATCATGTTACAACAAATTGATGTAGAGAACGGAATTGTTTAATGAAATCGAAAACCTCATGAAAAGTATGTAATACATTAATGTATTAGATCTTTTCACACATTTCTTCATAGTATGATTATATTCTTTTTATCGCAGAAAGACATTTCAATGAACTAATGACGTATCTAAAATATAATCATAAATTAAAACAGGATTTGAATCTGATTAATAAGCAATGGTCGTAGGATTACACTGCTGATTTTAAAAGCCACTTTTGTGCATCATCGAGTTCGACTCTTCCCAAATTACAGTAGTCATCTAACATTACAGTGTTCATCTAAAACCAAGTCTTTATTGCCAACAATGTCATAATGGAAACGTGATCACTTAACTAAAAATGCTTTTCGATGAAACTCAACTTCAACATAGTATAAATTAGATAATAATGCAGATTAGATCAGTACCAACAAATTTTATGGAATATTTATTTTTGAAAACGAACTTTGTTCTTGAGGTTCTAGAAATACAAAATATTTTAAGTCGAATGAATAACCTGTTTTCTTTCGAACTAATTTTCACGCGTACGGTATTAGAATTCAGCGAGTACATTATAACAAACTATTTAAAGATTGTAGGTAGAATTTTCTTAATAACAAACTATAATTCTTATTGCATAACATACATTTTTATTCGTTTGAAAAATGTATTACGATTTTAGTAAAAATTGATGATCTGTACCTACAAACTATGTTATAAGTAAAAAGTATATTAAGTATTCCTATATCTAAATAGGTTAATAGCATGTTCAAAAAACTTACCACAGAATGTCTACGCTAAATAAATCAAAACATCTTTCATTATTTAATGATTCGCTCTAATTGTGATCTTTGAATTTTTTTGACAATTTTTAATAAATCCGCTCCGAATCTCCACGATTATTGTTGTCATATTACAATATACCATTCCTATCATCATGCTATATCTGCTTTCTTAAAATCGCATTGTTATGCCCACAATTTGATAGGATAAGCCAACACTTGACGGATCTTGCTTTAATCTCATCGGCATGGAAACAGGGGGATAATGATGAGTAAGTAAAAGGGAACAAGACAGAGGAACCGCCAGGTAATGAAACGATCGTTGACTCGTCTTCACTGTTTAATCCCGAGTGGTTCGACTATAAAGAGGAAATACTGTACTTCACATTTTTTCCAATTCTGGCAGAGCCCAAGTTGTTCGCGTTTAGTACCGTACAAGAATATTTTAATTAAATAAGATCTCTCTGATCTGTTTGAATATTGAGACGCTAAAATAGTATAATCTTCGGTGAACAGAGTTTTGGTGCAATAATAATTCATTATGTTAAGAATAAATTCCGATGAATATTAACTGAAGATAATTCATAAAATTCATTCGTCACAAGGACACAAACCGCGGCATTTGAATAAAATCATACCCGTTGGAAACGGAATACCGTTCGGACACGTCATCAGGTACGTATTAATCCTGTTATCGATATTCCGAAACTGCGAATCGTAAAAATTTTCGATTTCTAGTCACCTGTTTCAACTCCGATCAGTTCGAGGGATTTACGAGCTACCTCGAAACAATTCAGTGCAGCTGCCCCGCACAGGGGTTGCTGCCGTTGCTTGGCATCTCCGGAACGCGTAAAATCCGTTTCCACCGCAACGACGACAGTTGTCGTGGTTCAATCAGTAAATTCAGCCGCAAGTAAAGTACCTCCGGGATATCGCGTGCGCACACGTATCTGTCGCTGACTATCGCACGATGAATCCACTCCGAGGACGTTTTACGATCGTCCTTCCACCCCCGGCTCTCCTAAACCCAACAGCCTCCCCCACAACTCCCTGTTTTCCCTCGTCAACGACTCAGTGTACTTTCTGGCTTGTCTCAATTATACGTAAGCGACGACCGTCACAACGTTCACCGAAAAAAAGGTGTGCAGACCCTTCCGCAATTTAACCTTTTTTCCTGTACCAGGTAAAAATCATAATGAAACAGCGTGCACGTCGTACATTGTGAAGTCTATAATTATATTTGCAATTACGGCACGCGCAATCTAGGAAATATTAGATAGGAATGTATTTTGACCACAGTACAGTGGTATAGCATTCATTCGAATCTGTTGGAGCACCAGGAAATTTAGATAAAAGAATTGCTCAAATAAAAAAAAGTCTACTTACTTCTCCTTCCACACGAATACATTAACGGATTCTTCTATCTTCAAGTAAACGTCATATTTATGAAAAGTAAATTAAACATGTTTAGAGACAACGAATCAAAACTGTCCGTCATTGAAAATCATACAAGTCAATAAAATTGTAATAGTTTATACCCACTACATATTATGTTCAAATACATTTTTTCGTCTATAACGTCGCCGGTCCACTCAATGAAATGTTTGGGAGTAGTACTATACATAGAAGTTCCCAAAAAAGAAAGTACAACATAATCACGAACACTTATATAACTGTGTAACCGCATGGATGTGCAGTATGCTGATATGTCTCAATTTATCGCTCGCGTGCCACGTTTTCTCTCTAACTGGCGCCCGACTTGCAAATGTAGTCGAACGAAACAGTACATTCGCCCTCCATATTGTCTCGCCGAACGCGCGCGGCGAACAAAGAGAACATGGCACGCAAAATATCAAAATGTATCAAAGAGACACGCCATGCTTTTATAATGATAGTCACACACAAGGTCATGCACTGTTGTCCTACCTAACTTACCAATCGCTATTTTTTTCTTAGAAAACTTGACTAGAACTAACGTAACGAAACGGTAACTAGCAATAGAAATGGACGCTAAATTGCGTTCGGTAAAGCGCGAAGTTACGTGGGGAACAACGGTGTGTCTTTAGTCTTGATGTTCTAGTATGAGACGAACACAGGAGTATACATAAGGTAAATACCATGCAGCGTAGCCTAAGTTCGGATAATAACTCAGCAAGGTGTTCGTTAAACCGAGTACTGTGAGAAAATTAGTTCGAGTAAACAGAGTACAGATATATGACGTTTTACTGTATCTTGAAAAATAAAAAGCCCTTGTTAAAAAGGAGCAAGCAAAACGGCCGCGCACATTAATTATGCAGGTTTTAGGATAAGGAGGACGATTTATGCAGAAACTTGTAACGATATTTATCTCGCGGTCGGCATAAAAACTTCGGGTTGCAGCTCCATAAACCGAGAGAGAGATGTGTAAAATATTTTATTTCCCATCAAACGATTACCAACGGCGCTTCGGTTATCTATAAAGCGAGGACGTTAGGTAGGATGCAAGGCACTGTTTATGTAAAATCAAGGAAAGGGAAATATTAAATATAAGGCTCGTATACATATATCAAATCGTTTTTGCGTAGCGAGATTCGTTTTACGACTTGCAGGCTGTTTGCACAGGCATTCGCACTTACACTCCTGTGGTTGCGTTCTCCACTTTGCAACTACGGTATAGTCGTTCGAGAATGCGTAAATCGAATTATCAAAATGCTCACCGTTTGTAGTTTAGTTAGTTTACATAAAGAATGTCAATCATTGTTTGGGATTCTCTATAAACGAAAGTGTAAAGCATGACGCGAATAATATTCCTGTGAATCGTTCGATTTCATTTCTAACTTATTCCGTGACGTTCTCCAAGAAGAAATATTAAAGAGCAAAAATCCTTTACTAATAAATACATGTATAGTTTCTAAATCGCGATATCGTTCCGTACATTTAAAGATACGTATTACTAAGAATACATAGCAAAATGTTTATTTATAATGTCAGTAAAAATCAAATATGATTAATTTTTGCAAATCTTCGATAAAGTCGTTCCTTAAAAAATACAATACTGCAAATATCGTTTAGTCTTTTCTTTTCTTTACGTCTTTCTATAGACGTAGATAATTCTTCACGATTCAACTAAAATATTCCAAAACCGACCAAATCATTCAGAACGTCTCTTCATTTTAAATAACGTACAATTCAATGAATAATCTGCACATTCTAATTACATGATGCAATAAATTGAAAAACAAATTTGTAGACGCGAATGTACGATGATTCGAAGAATCAAAAATCATTGTTTTCGAAGAGTAGGGGCCGTTTGTTGCTTTGTAGCATTAAGCAGATTCATGTAACCACATATTTGGATACCTGACATAATTGCACTCGTCTTTGGCGCGGGTAAATGTGCACACCATTTCCGGTTGTGCACTTGGCGCATCACGTCTACTATCCGGCTAATTTTATGTTTCCTTCGGTAACAGCTAATATCTACGTTAATCTACTACATATAAGAGGAAACATGGGCTACAAATAATACCGGGACATCATAAAACTATAATTACCACTATCGTTCGTTGTGATGTCTATCGATGAGCCCGACGACTCGTCGAAAGCTAAACCCGTAAAATTGATTCGGCAGTTCTTACTATTCCCTTTAAGATTATCCCCGATGACGGCAAATGAACGGGTTAGTCATTGTGTAATAGTCAAATCCGGTCGAAATTTATGCCGGTGATGATTCAGGCGATCATCGCGGCCACCGATGAATGGTGCACTCGAAGGCGCGACAGTTCGCGCGGACAAGGTTCTCAATGACAACGCCGTGCATCGTCCACGTAGGTACTTTCTACACGGCGGTCGGATGGATTCAATCGTAAAACCTCGACGTCCGTCTAAACCAGCGTGCCACCTCCACCCGTCCAACCACCACTCTTCGGCGAAAAACCCCTCGCCCTCCCGATGCCAGACTGCTCGACGTGTCTCCTCCCCGCACCAGGGACGTGCCCCCTCCCAGCCAGTGCCCGCAGGCCACCATGCATCTCGTCGGTGTGCCGCTGCTACCAGCACTCTTAGTGAGTTACGGACCGCATGCAAGCGCGTGTCGAACGAGTCGTTGGTGTCGCGCTTTTCCACATTTCACCGTTTAGATTCTTCTGTATTTTGCCACGCTGCTACGCCAGTTCCGCCATCGATGAGGACACGGTAACAGATATCACCACCGATAACTCTCTTATTCCCCAACGGTCTCGTGCGTTTTTATCTGGTCCCGACGAGCGTTTTATCCGTTCAGCCTGGCTGTTGTTGTTTCGCGCATCCCGCGGTCTTCTCCGCCGCCGAAACCTGGGATTCCCCGAAGTGCGTCGAGACGAGCCGTCAAACTTCTCTCGGCACGAACTGTTTTACGCGCGATCTAGCGTGATCCGACGAGAACCCTGAGACACAAGAGGGGGCGAAAACAAGATTCAACGCACGAGTTGACGTACTCCGATGGAGAGAACTGTCGTACCGTGCTACGAGAGGGGGAAATTGAAGAGTAGGAGGGGGTTAGAGTGACACGCGGATACCAGCTAAGTCGAACGGGGAGAAGAGGACAATTGAAGTGCGCGTGTGCGAAAAGTGCGCGCCACGCGGCCTGAACTATGGGTTATGTTGTGTTGTGCTTTTTGCGGAATTGTACGCGTGATCTTTCTCTCTCTTGGTTCACTTGACGTAGACTTGCCCACGTTGTTCACTTCCCGGGATAATTGCGCGTGTTCACTGGTGAGTACGTGAATTCTGACTGAAACCTTCTTTTTCGGGATTCCACTGACTTACGGGTAAACCGACTGGTATACACGAACAATTGCAAAAAAAAGGTACGGACGGAACTTAACCAGAAACAAGGGAACGAGTAATGATGAAGTAAAGATAGTCGCTGAAACAGTGACTGTTACGTTTCGTTGGCTGAGTGTGTTAATCGTGATGTGCACGTGAGGGGAAAAAGACAACGACGAATACGAACTCGTTGAATTGACTGCGCGCGCGCGAGCGTGGTGCTTCTCGCGCGCAAATACGACACGAGGTTGGAACTCGTCGCGTGGTAGAGAGTAGTGTGCTGCATCCGGCTATAAGGCGCGCGTAACGCGATAATTTCCCGAAGAAACTGTGCAATCTGATAGACATGGAAAACTTCGATATAGTGTAATTGTGTGTTCGCCTGCGAAAATTGTGGCTTAATGCCGTGATTAACGGTTACGTGAGTTCACTGATCACTGGAATAGACTCTATGAAGTACATTGAACAGTCCCCGATAAGAAAACCCATATCTTGTTCTTCTAAATGTTTAGGTAACAACTAACTACATTTTCTATTTTCCGCTTTTACGGATCTTCTTCTTTATCGCGCTACAAGCTGATTACGATTTGCCTACGTGTTTATTTACTTTTCTGTTCAACCGGATGCCGTACATGTTCAATGCACAAACAACAATCTCTTCCGAGTGTTTTGTTTTATCGAAAGCATTGGACATGAAGGTAGAATGTTACAATGGCAACTAGTCACCCGTTATTTCAAAAACAGGCGCGGTGAATATTTTCTGAAAATTCCTTTTCGCTTACTCAATTAAAAAATAATGCATGTTCTAACAAATCGCGAATAGTCTGATTCTTTTGTTTTTCTATATTAAAGCGGTGAATTATTAGTTAAGACTACACGAAATTAACGGTAATAGGGGAAATTGAATTAATGAATTAAATAATATTTAAAAATACGTAAACAATATTAATTAATCAGTTTTTAAGTAAAAATAGATTTGCTTATATATTTATAAATTATTGTTAATTAAATCAGCCTTGTAAAGTTTCCTCTTCTTTGTTTTTGATGAATAATTTGTTTCTCTGCAACGGATTAATTTACTTACTTGAAAAGGCTCGATTAGAGTAAAACTCCGTTTCTGTTTGATGATTTGTAGAATTCATCTAAATTTGTTGGCTTCTTAAGATTGATATATTTTCCGTGTAACATTATATTATTTTAATCGCACTGAGAAAATCATGATAAAATTATTGTATGTTTTTTACTTGGTTACCAACATTTCTTATAAGTGTACATAATTTATTTATACTTAGAATCGGTCTCAGATGCTGGAATTCACTTATTTAACGTTCCAGTATCTGCAAATAATAATATAATTTCATTTACCATCTTTTCAACCTTATGTAATTGATTTTGTATAATTAAAAGAAAATATTTCGTATTGTTCGAATACTAAGTCTTTTGTCAATTTCGATTCAAACATCATAGTGAATACGCTCAGTAATTTTGTGAGGATTATCCGTCAGAAATACATCAATTATTGTTTCATCAAAGTATGGAAGTTTTCTTCGTGCATTCTTAACTGAACAAATATTTCAAATTGTCTACTAATGAAGTAATAAAAAAGATTATTCTTTAAAAGAATAAACTATTTCTTGCAAGAATAAAAATAATCTTTATGTAGTTCCTGAACGTTGTAGTTGTCTGTTAGCGGGGCTGGTATTCATTTGAAAATAAATGTTTCAAGTAATTTCGTTTTTTAGTGATTTTGTCGCGTTTTTCTGAAGTAAATACTGTACAGTTGTATAACTGCACAATAAAAATAATTTTGTGCAACAATATCATTCTAAACGAAAGTGTTTTATTAAAAAAAGAGTATTTATGTAAACGAATGCACATAGACAAGTTAATAAGTTGAATTTTTTTAGTTATTTTACACGTTAATTTGCAAAAGAACCTAAAAAAAATTACATTTGAAGTTTAGGTTGTAAATACAAATATATATATATACTGAGAGTTGTGAAATCTCATGCAGCCATGTTGATTCTGTGAATTTCATTTTAACACTTCTGCATTAGATTTTTACGCAAACGAAATTGATTTTTCGTATTCTTTACCTCAAGTAATTATTTATATATTAAATGATTTAGAACAACTTTTTTAAATATTTATAATCTATTATTTGAAAAATATTAAGCTCCATTGATGTTAAATTATACAATATTCAATATACATTACATACTGATTTGCATATGTAAAAAGTAATCGGCTTCAAGATTTTATATTAAGTACGTATACTGCTGTGACGGTAGCAGAAAATGTTTAGGACTTTATGATATGACTTTTTTTTTAATTTGGCGATAACATTTACACGGAGACCATTTTTACGAATGCAACGAATATATTCACATTTGCACACAAAAATACTTGCGCGGTTCCATATATGTGCGTCGCACAAGCAATTAAATTTCAACATTTCTGTCTCGATCACACAATTCCAATATACCACTACGGAATCGTTCTTGATAATAGATACGCACATGCATTTTTTATTGAAATATTCATGGTCGGCGAATACACGTGTAATATGAAAATGATCTGTATTGCCGTAACAAGTTTTTACAGTGTCGCAGTACTACGGTATCAGTAGGAAAACTTTGTTATCATTCTTGTTAGTAATCGATGACCTGGATACGCTCCGGTAATTAGAGTTTCAATTAGCCTTTAACTTACGATTCCTTTTTACATTCTCCATTATTGATAGGTTTTGAGTCGATTTATCGACTGGTTACAAGCCGATTGCAATACTTTTCAAGATTTATGCGAATTCGTAGTCTTATCAATTCTGCTTGCTCTTTTACGAGAACAATAAAAGGGTTTAAACTGGTCAAATTGACGTTTCGAAGAAACATGATTTTCGTTAAATATACAATAGTCCAAGAAACTGATGTCGTCTCTTCGCACTCTTAAAACTATACCACGTTTCAATCTCATTTCGATATTCATAATGCGATAACAATACAGTTTTTTAATGAAAAAAATTATAATATGAATTTTGCATTATTTTAGTCTGCAATATTATTTTGTTTTGTACCTTGCATTGTCTTGAGACGCACCCTTTGTTTATCTTCAAGTTTTGAAGGTCATAACAATAGGCAATTTCCAACGAGTTTTTAGAATAAAACCATTCAGTTTTCTCTACGCTATTCGAAACGTAAATATGCTAAAAGTAACAAAATATTTGAACATTTGTCGAAGTAAAGGAATGTAGATTAATGCATTTTTATTTTCCCAAAATTCATTCAAAAACAATGAGAAAAAGTAGTGACAGTTTTATTTGTTAGTATTTCAATGGTCAAGTGATCATTTATTAATAAAGCGATTTTTTTATTTATGCCTTATTTTGTGTGGTTTTAAACTTTGAAGATGTTCAGGTACGTTAACATTTACCTAAACATTCACATTCACTTTTTTGGCAGTATGCTTTGGGCTGTTATCTTGCTAGAAGGCAAACGAATTCTCAAGATTTAACTTTCCCTATTTTTGTGTAAACATTTCTTGTAAAATGTTTAAATAAACATTTTGGTCCGCTCTGCTATTAATGTGCAAATAAAAACTAATTTTCTTACTCCATTCCCACTTATACACACTCGTACTAAAGAATTGCTATCACCATGTTTCACAGCTGAATACAGATCTCATGTTTTTATTTGTTCATTAGTCTTTCTCAATACGATCGCCTGACCATCTGATTCGAACGCATTAAATTTACGTTTGTCGCTGAGTAGAACAGGTTCTCTGAAGCTAGATTCCTTATTTCTTACTTTAGTAAAGTAACTTCTCCTTTAGATTACTTATTTTACTAATATAGGGCTTTTTCCAAGTTACGCGCTCATTAAACCCAGCACTTTCAATAACATTCTGAATTGTTTGAAGTCCGAATACGTATTAACGTTGTAATCACTTTTCATTATTTCAAGTACTTAGCTGTGAGATCCTTCCTTTCCGTTCTTTCTCGATGTCGATGTATAATATATTCATGAAACGAAATTTCATAAACTTCTCTTTTTCTGACCAATAGCTTTCTTTGTATCAGCTTCAACTATTTTTCAAATTGCGATTGGCAAATATCCATTGAATTAAGTGTTCTCAAAATACCATTGCCTTTTAAATATAATGCATTTCAAGTTGATAACTTCGCATATTCGCAATACTTTAACTAAATTTCTCAAATTTCTTGAGTTTATTACGAAACTGACGAGGCTATTCATCTTTCCTTGGACCACTGCCGCGCACGAATAATGAAGATTATCACGCGAATATTCCACGATCAACATTTTATCACAAACATATTCGTCGAACACATTCGATTATCCGCGCTCATTCTATTAGCCATTAGTGCATCGAACAGAAAAATAAACGCGAATTAATACGTGCACATTAAAAACTGTCATGGCGGTACCCGGTCGTCGGTTGGTTCCCGCCGCCTAAAACTCTTATTCGACGCGAATGAAAGCGTGTGCAACAAGAGAAAAACCCCGATTGACCAGGGTCGTGTCGTCGAAACACGAGAACTTGCCGAACCGATCATCGACGATCGTGCAACGTTATTTCTTGTCGGCGAACACGATCTCCAATAAAGAGTTTGATCTTCACGGTGAAGACTCGCCGCCGAAAAAAAGATGAAATGCGGCTTGGGAAGGCCTTCGACTCACGTTTCGCTCGAAATTGCTCG